AGGGGGAAACATAAAATTTTCATCAAGAAGGCAGAGTTAGAGCAATAGTCATATTGAAAGTTGCAAACTTAAAGAAGTGAGCTCCCCTCCCCACTTACTAGTGGGTAACGTGTGAGAACAGCCCTTGATGGCTGCCCCACCAGAAGAGTGGACAGGGACCCAGGTCTGGAGCCACGAGATATGGCTCACTTCGCAGCCCTCGTCCTTCCTGGCTGTGTGGCTCAGGGAGGTCGCCCAACCCTCTCTAAACTTCCTCACTGTCCTCACCTGCAAACTGTGGGAACCAGCTGTGCTCTGACTGCAGGGCCCATGTGAGGACCAACACGAGGAGAGCCGGCTGTAAACCAGGAAGCACTACAGCAGTGGTTCTCAACCTTGGCTGCACATTAGAATCACCTGGGAATCTTTTTAAAATCCTGATTTCTACACCAGATCACAGCAAAACGTTCTGGTACAGATCAGGGGCCAGAAGGGACCCTGAAATGCCCCCGTATTTTCCTGGACACACCTTCTCTGAAGCTCTGAACACAGCAGCCACAGAAAGGAAAGTTTCCAGAACCATCTCCCGCTCCAGCAAGTTCAGCATGCCCTCCCTCTTCACTCCATCCGCCCCCACACCGTGCCTGCTCCACAGAGCACCACCCGATGCGCACAGTCCTGTGTACCCCACCCCACTGGGCATCCGTGACAGAGGGGCCAGGCCCACATTCCCCTGTGTCCCAGTTCTCCTGGTTCCTCACTTGTACTCAATAAATGTTTGAAAAAAAACAAGAAAGAGAAGATACTTGGGGGCTATTTTTTTTCTGCTGGTAGAAAACTAGAACATGGCAATTTGTTTTTGACTGGAGCTAAATCGGTGAATGACTTTTTCTAATGTGATGTTACAAGGATATAGAAACAGGAGGCACTGCATTTACTCTTTCCTCTCTGTTAATTCAGAGCTCCTGTTAGGTGCAAGCATGCTCTTGTTCAGTCCACCCAACTATTCCATGACTACCATTACTCCTATGTTATAGATGAGGAACCCAACATGCACTGGGAGGAAGCCCAGATTAAAACACTTTTCCAGATTACATAAGAGGTCACACTGGTGCTCTGGAACCTGCCGCCCCTTCCAGCCCCTAAAAAGAGAAATATAAAAGAACTAGAATGCAAGTATAGTCAACTGACCAAGCCAACTTCCTGAGGTTTTCGTTTGATTAAACAAGGAGACAAGGGCAGTTGACGTACTGGCTGAAGCACAGAGAATGTAATTTACACTGAAGTGCTGCCGATTAACTTGATTCTGAATTTATTTGTTCAAATTCTCTCAATTTAGAAGATACACCTGAGATTTCCCAAACAAATGCTTAAAAAAATGATGCTGTAAAGCCTCATTGTAAGAGATGCCCAGTATAACAGTTATCTTGTTTTACTGATTCCATGCTCATATCCTGCCCCCAGCCCATATTAATGTTTAATTTGCTAATAGAGAGATAGCAAATTTTGATGAAGAGGAAATGATGGTTAATAAATGTATTTTCTAACTTCTTTCCATTTTGCTGTCATTCTTTTCTTTCTTTCTTTATATTTTTTGTTGTTAATCCTCACCCAAGGATATTTTTTTCATTGATGTTTTTAGAGAGAGTGGAAAGGAGGGAGGGAGGGAGGGAGGGAGGATTGACAGAGAGAAAGAAATAAACAAACAAACAAACAAATAAACAAACAAACATCGATGTGAGAGAGAAAATCAATTGGTTATCTCCTGCTTGTGCCCCCACCAGGCTAGGGATCGAACCTGCAACCCAGGTACGACCCTTTGGTGTGCAGGCCGATCAGGGCTCTATCCACTGAACAACACCAGCCAGGGCTGCTATCACTCTTTTAAATTAAAAAAAAAATCCTCCTGATAGAGTATTTATATGAAGCTGTGGTACTTGAATATCTGTACAATACTAAATCATTTTAATAAGATTTGACACATTTTCTGAATGTTGGGGTTGGTTTTGATTTTGTGTTTAAAAACTACTAATTAGAAACAGAATATAGAGTGGGAAAAGACCCAAGAAATCATCTATCCCAAATCCTAGCCCCACACCCACCATTTCAAAGATAAAGAACCGAGACCCACAGCAATGGATAGGTGTGGAGGGAAGATAGAACTTGCCAACAGGCAGAGCGAAGTTGGACTTGGGTTCCCTGCACACGGGTGCCCTGCTCTGCCTCGCTCGGGCTGGGCCTGTTCACACCGGTGTCAGGCCTCCTTCCCTGCACACTCGTGCTGTGCCTGCCTCACAGGCTGGGTGTGCTCACACCAGTGTCAGGCCTCCTTCCCTGCACACTCATTCTGTGCCTGCCTCACGGGCTGGGTGTATTCACACTGGTGTCAGGCCTCCTTCCCTGCACACTCGTGCTGTGCCTGCCTCGCTCAGGCTGAGCCTGTTCACACTGGTGTCAGGCCTCCTTCCCTGCACACTCGTGCTGTGCCTGCCTCACTTGGGCTGAGCCTGTTCACACTGGTGTCAGGCCTCCTTCCCTGCACACTCGTGCTGTGCCTGCCTCGCTCGGGCTGGGCCTGTTCACACCGGTGTCAGGCCTCCTTCCCTGCACACTCGTGCTGTGCCTGCCTGGCTTGGGCTGAGCCTGTTCACGCCGGTGTCAGGCCTCCTTCCCTGCACACTCGTGCTGTGCCTGCCTCATGGGCTGAGTGTGTTCACACCAGGGTCAGGCCTCCTTCCCTGCACACTCGTGCTGTGCCTGCCTGGCTCGGGCTGGGCCTGTTCACACTGGTGTCAGGCCTCCTTCCCTGCACACTTGAGCTGTGCCTGCCTCGCTCGGGCTGGGCCTGGTCACACCGGGTGCGGATGAAGCTGGCACTGCTTCTGAGGTCCATGCAAGGCCTTCAGAACTTACTTATCAAGTGAACATGTGGCCTCCTTAAGCCATCGTTACTAAATTATTGGATGATAAATTCTCTTTGCTTAGAAAAATCCTAATGTTGTCATACTGTGTGATTCTTTCAGAGACATCACAAAGCATCACAGAAGGAAGAAGTGTCAAGGAGCTCAGAGCATCGGCGGGCCCGGGGCAGGGAGACAGGCGGTTTGGCAGCTCACTTGTCGCCTTCCTTTTCGCCGTTGTACCACCAGTCCATGATCAAGGACTCGGAATACAGGTTTTGCATCTTCTCCAAATCACTGCGTCCCTGTTCCATTTCCTTAATTAAAAGAGTGAGATCTTCATTCTGCCCAAATGAGAAGTGAATACACCATGAGGTCACATAAGAGTTCACCCTGAAAACACGTCTAACACAAGACCAAGTGTACCAGGAAAAGAAGAATCTAAAAAATTCCATGTAGTTCTTGCATTATTCCATGTTAAACAGCTTTATTGAGGTATAATTTACGTACAGTAAGCTAAATGTATGGAAAGTGTACCATTTGAATAGTTTTGACATTCAAGCCTGTGAAACCATCATTGTAATCAAGACAATAAACATATCCATCACCCCCAAAAGTTTCCTCATGCCCTTTGTAAATCTGCTCTCCCCACCTCAAGATTCCCTCCATCCCCAAGCAACCATTCATGTGCTTTCTGTCACTGTAGTTTAATTTCCCAGAATTTTATATAAACGGAATCATAGAGTATGTACCCTTTCTTTATATAGCTTCCTTCACGCGTACAATTATTTTGAGCTTCCCTCATGTTGTAGCATGAATCAATAATTCGCTCATTTTTATCGCTCAGTATTATATTGTATACTGAATACCAACATTTACTCGCCTGTTGATGAGCGTCTGAGTTGTGTCCAGGTTTGGGCTATTATTAATAAAGCTATGAACATTTGTGCACAAGTCTCTGTATGAACATCTGCTTTCATTTCTCTTGAGGAAAGATCTAGGAGTTGGAATGGTTGGATCATATGGTCAGAGATGTTAAATTTTAAAGAAACTACCAAACTCTTTTCCAGAATGGTTGTACTAGTTTACATTCCCACATTCTCCACATTCTTGCAAACACTTGGTATGGTCAATCGTTTTAATTTTCCTTATTCTAACAGCTGGGCAGTGGTATCTCCTCATGGTTTTAATTTGTATTTCCCCTAATGATTAATAATGTTAAGCATCTTTACATGTTCTTATTTGCCGAACATATATTTTCTTTGGTGACGTATCTGTTCAAATCGTTTGCCCATTTTTTGAGTTTCTTTATCATTGAGTTTTTAGAGATATTTATGTATTTTAGATGTAAGTCCTTTATTAGATATACAATTTGAAAATAATTTCTCCCAGTCTACAATTTATCTTTTCATTATCCAATTTATCAATTTATTCTTATATAGATCATGAATTAAAATCCTATTAAAATTTTTTTCTAAGATGACAAAGACTTTTTTCTTTTTTAAAAAAAGTATATTTTTACTGATTTCAGAGAGGAAGGGAGAGGGAGAGACAGATAGAAACATCAATGATGAGAGGGAATCATTGATTGGCTGCCTCCTGCATGCTCCCCACTGGGGATCGAGCCCACAACCTGGGCATGTGCCCTGACCAGAAATCAAACCGTGACCTCCTGGTTCATAGGTCATAGTTATGGGGGGGGGGGGGAGAGGAACAAATGTAATCTGAACAATAAAGATTTAATTTAAAATCTCCCCCTGAACTGGGCAATACGGCCCCCATCAGCCCTGATCACTGGCCAGGCCGAGAGACCCAACCCGTGCATTAATTCGTGCACCGGGCCTTTAGTCTATATATATAAAAGGCTAAGCGACCATCTGACTGTCCGACTGGTAGCTATGGTCTGCACTGACCACCAGGGGGCGGATGCTCAATGCAGGAGCTGCCGAGCTGCGGTGATTTGGCAGCAGCAGTTCTCGGGTGACACACCCGGAACCAGAGGAGGGAGCCCGATTCTGGGGTGCGTCACCCAAGAACCGCCCTCTTGCAATCCGGGACCCCTAGGGGGGATGTCAGAGAGCCAATTTTGGCCTGATCCCCTCACAGGCCAGGCTGAGGGACCTCACCTGCTGGAGGGACCCCACTCACTCCGCAAATGACCTTTGAGCCACGGCGGCGCCCCAGGTGTGGCCAGCCAGCGAGGGACCATGGGAGGTTGGCTCCAGGGTGTGTCCAGCCCATTTCACCCAGTCCCGCCCCATCAGGCACCTTCTAATTAACTTCCTTTAGGACAGATAAAGAGAGATCCCATATGTTCTTCACCAAGTTTCCTCCAATGGTAACATCTTGAAAATAAATAATATAATATCACAACAAGGATATGGAATTGATACAATCCACCAAACATATTCAGATTTCCCCAGTTGTACTTGTCCTCCTCTGTGTGTGTATATGTGTGTGTTTAGCTATATACTATGTTCTCATCTGTGCGGCTTGTATATTTGCTCCTACGGTCAAGAACAGAATAGTACCATCATGATAAGGAGGCCTCGTGTTTCTCTTCTGTAACCACACCTGCCCCCTCCCTCCCTCTCACATCATTCCTAAACCTTAGCAACCACTAAACTGATTTGTCATTTCAAAAATGTTATACAAATGGATTCACACAGTGTACTAGTATAACTTTCTAAGATTGGCTTTTTCCCTTCAGCAAAATTCCCTGGAAATTCATCCAAGTTGTGGCATGAATCAATAATTCATTCCTTTCATTACTGAGTAGTATTCTAGGATATGGACATACCACAGTTGATTTAACCATTCATCTGTTGAAGGACATATGGGTTCTTGTGTGTTTCTCTCTAATACAAATTAAGTTGCTACCACCATTCAAGTACAGGTTTTCAGTGAATATAAGTTTTTATTCTATGAAATGTATGCCTAAGAGAGCAAGTAGTGGGTCATACAGTGATTAAACATTAGTTTTAAAGGAAACTGTCCAACTTTCCCAGAGTGGCTGCAACATTTTACATCCCACCAGCAATTACATACAACTGATTAACAATTCAGTGTCTCCTCATCCTTGCCAGCACTAATTTTTGTCACGATTTTTTATTTTAGACATTCTGCTGGGCATGTAGAGATATCTCATGGCAGTTCAATTTGCATGCCCCTAATGGCCAGTGATGTTGAACATCTCTTCGCATGCTTATTTGCCATCTATATATATATCCTCCTCAGAGAAATGTCTGTGCATGTGTTTTGCCTATTTTCTGATTGAATGATTTGGACTTTACTGCTGAGTTTTAGAGTTCTTCATATATTCTAGATACTAGGCTTCTGTCAGATATGTTGTTTGCAGATACTTTCTACAAATCTTTTCATTCTCTTAACAGGGTCTTTCTCAAAACAAAAGGTTTTTAACTTTGATGAGGTCTAATTTATCAATATTTTCTTTCATGGATCATGCTCTTGGTGTGAAGACTAAAAATTCTTCGCCTAGCCTGAGGTCTTCTAGATTTCTTTCCTGTATTTCTTTCTAGAAGTTTTATGTTTTACCTTTAAGTTGATGCTCCATTTTGAGTTAATATCTGCATGAGTGAGATGTAGGTTGAGGTTCACTATTTTGCCTATGAATGTCCAGTTGCTCCAACCATTTATTGAAAGGACTCTACTTCCTCTATTATTTTTGCACTTTTGTTAAAAATCAGTTTGGTATATTGCATGAGTATATTTCTGGGTTCTACATTCTATTCCGTTGGCCTATATGTCTATTCCTCCATCAAAGCCATACTGTCTTGATTAATGCAGCTACAGAGTAAGCTCTATTCCCACTTAAACTTTTTCAAGATCGTTTTAGCTCTTCTAAGGCCTGTGTCTTGACATACAAATTTTAGAATAAGCTTGACATTCTTTGAATGTAACCAGTGATATTGCTGAACAATAGTTCTAAAAGTTTTTTTGTAGATCTTTTGGGGGTTGCTATGTAGACAATAGGTTACCAACAAAAAAGGACAGTTCTATTCCTTCCTTTCCAACTTGTATGCCTTTTATTTCCTTCATTGTCTTGTTGCCATGGGTAAAGCTTCTGGTAGTATGCAGAATAAGAGTGGTTAGAAGGGATGTCCTTGTCTCTTTCTTGATCTTAGGAGGAAATTATTTTAGCTGTAGGTTTTATGATGATATAAGTTGTGAAGTTCCCCTTTATTCCTATTTTGCTGAGAGTTTTTTGTGTGTTTTTTTTTAATCATGAGCAGAGGTTGGCTTTGGTCAAGGCCTTTTTCTGCACAATTGATATGACCATATGATTTCTCTTCTTTACCTGTTGATATGCTGGACTATACTGAATGCTTTGGATTTTACTGCTTACATTGATTTTCTAATGTTGAACCAGACTTGTATACCTAGAGTAACCCCCCCTTGACCATAATGAATAGCTCTTTAATACATTGCTGGATTCAGAGTACTCATGTTTTATTGAGGATTTTTGCATCTTTGTTCATGATATGTAGATTTTTATACTGCCTATTTGGTTTTGGTGTTTTGGTTTTTGAGGAACTACTGTCCTCATAAAATGAATTAGAAAGTGATCCCTCCTCTTCTATTTGTTTAAATAAATTTGTTTAGTTATTCTTTGAATGTTTAGTAAAATTCTCCATGGAGCAATCTGGGCCTGGGTATTTCTTTTTCAGGAGTTTTAAAATTATTAATTCAATTTATTCACATTGTCTATTTTATCTTGGCCGAGTTTTGGTAACTTGTAGTTTTTGTGCAAATTATCCATTTTTTTCTAAGTCGTCAAATTTATGACTGTAAGTTGTCCACTATATTCCTTTATTATCTTTTTAATGACTACTAGATCTAATGTGATGTCCTCTATTTTTCTAAAAGAAAATTAAGGCTGTTTTTCCTTTGTGAATGCTATTTTTGCCTTCATCAGCCTTCCAAGAGGTTTTATCAATTCGAGTCCCCCCCCAAAAAAGAGCTTTTTGTCTCATTGGCTTCCTATGTGTTTTTTTTTCTATTTTCAATTTCATTGATCTATGCTCTTTTAAATATATATATTATTGATTTTTACAGAGAGGAAGGGAGAGGGATAGAGAGTTAGAAACATCAATGAGAGAGAAACATCGACCAGCTGCCTCCTGCACACTCCCTACTGGGGATGTGCCTGCAACCAAGGTACATGCCCTTGACTGGACTCAAACCTGGGACCCTTCGTCCACAGGGCGACGCTCTATCTACTGAGCCAAACCAGTTAGGGCTGATTTATGCTCTTTTCTGAATTGTTTCCTTTGCTTTGGATTTATTTTGCTTCTAGTTCTAGTTTCTTGGGACAAGAACTAAGATTGTTGATTGAATACCTTTCCTTGTTTCCAACATAAGCATTTAGTACTATAAATTTCACTCCCAACACTGTTTTAGCTTCATCCCACATAGTTTGATATGTAGTTTTTGTTTTCACTCAGTTTTAAGTACTTTTTATTTCCTTTGAGACTTCTTCTTTGACCTCTGGATTATTTAGGACTGTGCTGTTTAAATTCCATGTGTTAGACATATTCCTGCTGTCTTTCTTTTATTAATTTCTAGTTTGATTTTACAGCAGTCAGAAGACAAACTGTGTGATTTTAATTAGTTGATTTTAGATTAGTTGAGGTTTATTACCCATTTTATGGCCTATCTTGAATATTTTGTGAGCACTGGAAAAATGTGTATTCTACTGTTGTGGTGGGGAGTGTTATGTCTACATCAATTTCATCCTGATGGTTGATTGTGTTGTTCAGACCTTCTCTGTTCTTGCTGACTTTATGTCCAGTAGTTCTATCAGTTGCTGAGAGGGAAATGTTGAGGTCCCCAACTACAATTTTGTATTGATCCATTTGTTTGTTTGTTTGTTTGTTTTGATTCTATCAGTTTTTGCTTCGTGTCTTTTAAGGCTGTATTGGTTTGTGCACACATACTTATATTTTCCTGGTGGATTGATTCTCTTATTATTATGTAAATTTCTTGGCTCTGAAGTCTACTTTACCAGTTATTAACATAGCCAGCTCAGCTTTTTAATATTTATATGGTATGTCTTTTACATCCTTTTATTTGAACGCCCCTCTGTCATTGTACATGAAGTGAGTTTATTGCAAGCAGCATAGAACTGAGTCGCATTCTTCTATCCACTCTACCAATATATATTTTTTCTGTAATTAGAACATTTACATTTAAAGTGATTATTGATGTTAGCACTTACTTCTGTTATTTTATTATTTTCTATATGTTTTCATTGGTCTTGTTCCTCTGCTTCTCTTTTCTTGCCTTTCTCCAGGTTATTTTAACTTTTAAATATAATTTTATCTTGGTTCATTTGTTGTGCTTTTGAGTGTATCTCTTTGTACGATTTTGGTAATGGTTGCTCTGTGTATCACAACATATGCATGTGATTTATAAAAGTGCACTAGCAATCAATATTTTCTACTTTGAGAGAAACTTCACTTCTATTTAGGTGCCTTCACCTTCCTCCCTTTTAAATATTATTGCCTTGAGTACACGACAGTGCTATATTTTTTGTTTCAATTATCAAATATGATTAATAAATTGTATGAGGAAAGGATAGTCTATTATATCTACTCATATTTTTGCTCTTTTTTCCTTTCTTCCTGATGTTCCAAGATTCCTTCTTTCATGATTTCCTTTTGCTTGAAGAACTTATTAGAGCCAATATAAGAGCAGGTCTTCTAGCAACAAATTCTTTTAAATTTTATTTGTCTGAGAATATTTTCATTTCCCTTGCATTTCTGAAGGATAGGTTTATCAGATACAAAATTTGTGGTTGATAGCTCTTTACCTGTCACACTTGTCATCCAAAATATTGTGCCCCTTTTCCTGGCCTTCTTGGTTACAGATGAGAAATCTTCTGTCAAATCCACTGTCAATTTGGTGTCATTTCTTTCAGGCTATTTTCAAGATTTTTTTCCTTGGTCTTTGATTTTTAAATGTTTAACTATGATGTGCCTTCACATGAGTTTCTTTGAGATTATCCTGTTTGGAGTTTACGTAGCTTCTAAAATCTGTGTATTTGTATTTTTCATCAAATTTTGGAAGTTTTCAGCTACTATTTCTTCACATAGTCTTTCACTTCCTCCTCTCCTTGGGGAATTCTTATGATACTATATTGGATCTTTTGTTATTGTCCCCCTGGTCCCTGTGTTTCTTTTCTTTGTTTAGCCTATTTTTTCTCTGTTGTTCAGATTGGCAGAATTCTATTGTTTGACCTCAAGTTCACTGATACAATCCTGCTATCTCCATTCTACTATTGAGCCTATTCAGCGAGTTTGGTTTTAGAGAGAAGGAGGGAGGGAGGAGAGAGAGAGAGAGAGAGACCTCCATATAAAGGATGTGAGAGAGAAACATCACATTGATTGGTTGCCTCCCAACCATGGAACCTGTAACTTGGGTATGTGCCCTGACCAGGAATCTAACCTGAAATCTTTTTGGTGTACAGGACAATGCTCCAACCAAGGCACAATGACCAGGGTGGTTTTTGTATATTTTTAAGAGTCTTATTTCACCTTCTTTTTTGAAAGAACATATAGATTCTTCAAACATATAGATTATACAATGACAGGTTTTTCTTTCAGAACTTTAAAAAATGTTACTCTGCTGTATTTCCACTCGCATCATTTGTGACGGGAAGCCTGCTGTCATCTTTATGTATACCATTCCTCTGTGCATAGCATGTCTTCTTTCTCCCTATTCTTTTCTCTTTGCCATTGTTTCTGAGCAGTTTCATTCTGATGTGACTTGGTGTGGTTTTCTTTATATGTCTTGTGTTTGGGATTCAGTACGTTTCTTGGATCTGTGGGTTTATAGTTTTAATCCAAGTTGGAAAATTTCTGGCCACTATTTCTTCAATTACACATTTAGTAGACTACTTGAACTTTTCCTCAGCTCACTGATACCTCTTTTTTTGTTTGATTTTTTGTTTTGATTCTTTTTCTTCTCTGTATTACATTTGGATAGTTTCAATCTTTTGTTCTGCAACATATGATCTGCTATCTATCCCATTCCATGTGTTTTTCATCTCATACACTGTAGTTTTCATCTTTACAAGTTCGATTTGTATCTTACTTGTATCATCCATGTTTCTCCCTAACTTTGCATAGGTATCTAGTACAATAACATTAACTGTTTTAATGCACTAACATCGGAGCCAGTTATCAACATTTTGCCAAACTTCAGGAATCTGTATTTTTAACAAGCAACCCAGGGGATCTAGATGTGAAATCTGTTAGCCACTGCTGTTTATGGACATATGTGGGATACTTTCAAAAAAATTCAGATACTAGGTAGTTGTCTTCTAACTTCTTTGACTATATAACCACGTGACCATCTGATGAAGCAATTCACTCTAATGGGCTAATGGGAGAAAGTAAATAAAATTCTATTTTTACATTTTCCAGTCTTGACCTGAGGATATATATTTCAAGAATGCCCTTTTCGAGAATGTGTTTTTCATCTCATTGTCTGTCCTGAGGAGTGAGCCAGAATACTGATTAGTACTTGCATGTGATGAAACTACTGGATTCTGGGGAATGAATCATCCAAGAGGATTGTAGAGAAAGCAAACATGTTCACCACTCAACAAAGTGAAATTGAAAATGTCTGGTATCCAATCAGGTAGTACAGGTATGCAAGAAGCAGGAAAATACAGGTGCATAATGAGAAAATGTAAGCAGAAAAATAAAAACATACCCATAACTGGATGGTACTCTTCTACTTTGGTTAAGTTTGAAACTTTCCACAATAAAAAGCTTAGAAGAAAACCAAATATAGCAAGGCCTTGGGGTTCTATGCCTAGAGCCTGACTTAGTAGCTCTTCAGGAGAACCCAGGAATCTGCATGCTTACCTGTGCCCTAGTCCAGGGGTCCTTGACAGACACTGGTGTACTCACCATCAAGGGATCCATTTGTGCGACTTCATTGGCTTTATGGCTGCTGTTTTCCCAGTCAAGGTGTGGTTCCTGGGCCTCCGGACTGTCACATTCAGTTAAGTGAACACTCTTCTCAGCTCATCAAGCTCTTACCTGCTCAGCCTCCAGAGAACAGGCATCTTTGGAGCCCAATTGGTAGGAATGGAACTCTCCTCCAGTTAAAGAAGCAAGTTCTTTCAGAAAGTCATTCGCCATCTTGTCATTGTAATTGAAGGAAATGGTGTAAATAGGAATTTTCTGAAAAAGTTTGACTTCGTCTATAACCATTTCCGGTGGCTGAAATGATAAGTTTTGAGAGAGAGGCAAGAGGAGATGGAAAGAAAGAAAAAGAGAAAGAAAAAAAGTAAGTTGTAAAATCCCTTAGCATTTGCTCAAAGAGAGTAAAACCTCAGCTGGTAATTTCCTATGTAGCAAGCAGTGAGTGGCTTCTCAGCAAGGTATCAATTCAAGTCAGTACGGAAAGCCAGCACTGCCAGACAGTGCGAGCACAGAGACCGAGGACACGGTCCTCGCCCTCTGAGGGTGGGAGAAAGAATCCGGGAGAAACATTTAGCGAACCAAGTCCCTCAGCTTGAGGTGCGCCTAAACTGAGGATCCACGCTTTTAAGGTGTTGGGCTATGCATGAGACCCCTACAGGACTGCAGTCAGAGGCCAGGAGCAGAGCTTCCTGACAATAAGGATGCCACAGAGTGGGGACCCTGGATATTCATGTGGCTTCCAAAGATCTCCACCAACAGAGCAATTTCCAGCTTCAGACAAGCCATGGTCAGTGTGTCTCCCACAGAGAGCAAACGAAGAGCCATTAAGTGTCCTTTCGTGTGCTGGGCCCCCTGTTGGGGCACAATGTCCCAGTTAATCCTCACAGCATCTTGTGAAGTAGATTCAATATCCTGCTAGCAGGGGTGTTATTTGCTACATCTTCTTGGGGGGGGGGTGCTATTTGGCAGTATCTATCAAAACATATACCTTTCACCTGAGTCCACCTCTCAGAATTTACCCTTCACACATACTCATACATGTGCACAACGATATAGACTAGTAGGCACAGTTACTTTTGCAACGTTGTTCATAACAGAAAGATTGAAAACAACCTAAATGTCCATCTTCAGGGGACATGGCTAAGTAGCCACATGAAAGAATAGTAGGCAGCTATAAGACAATGAGGAAGCTCTTTATATTGTTTTATTAATAAAGGTCCTCAGAGCTGTGGTGTAACATGCTGCCACTTGTATATTTTAAAGAAAACGTATGTATAAGTACATGTCTGCTGGCAAACACACTATCTCTGAAAGAGGAGAGGAGACACTGGTAACACCCATTGCCTCTTAGCTGGTGAACAGGAAGTAGAAGGAGAATTTTCTCTATATGTTCTTTTGTACCTTTGTAATTTACACCATGTCAGTGTATTACTATTCAAAAATTACATAAAGTAATTTTGAAGGTGGATGTTTTATGAAATCTATAATGGAATATGGTGCAGTCATTGAGAATGATGTTTCTTAAGAATTTCTCATGACTTGAAAAATTTGCACATACTAGATTTTTAAAAGCAAAATTGACTTGTGAATGATTTAACGTTTGTTCTTTCTTATGCTTATGCTGGTCTATATCTTCTAAATTGCAATAAAATCAGTGGGAGTTTGCTAAGAAGAAAGGACCTTGTCCAGATGACTTTCAAGTCAGGCCCCCAGCCCCCGTTTCTAGGGGCTTCTGGCCGTCCAGGAACTACAAGTGCTCAAACGCAGCTTCCTCCCCCAGCAACCTCCAAGCCTTCATTAAATCAAGTCAGTTGACAACATAATCGTTAGAACCAGAAATCAGTCAGCTTGACCTCTTTCTCCCTTGCTCCCACTTCTCCTCACTCGGCCGGCCCCACAAGCCCCTCCCAAATCGGTCACCAAGTCCTTTGGGGCCACTTCCATGATCTCATCTCAGAAGAGAGTCTCCTTGTCCCCCTTTCTGATGCTCCTACCCATGGTGGTTCCTGACCAGTGATCAAGGTCTCTCTGCCCCTGGCACTGACAGGCATATGTCTAACGCACAGTGGACAGAACCATACGCTCCTCTGAGCACCCCTCCCCGCCTGTGGGGAAACCCGCCCTTTCCAGGTGGCTGTCTAGGACCTTCACAATCTCCCCAACCTAACTTTCCAGGCTCTGCCTGACACTCTTCTCTCATTGCCTTGTTCTCACACTGTTTCTCCGAACAGCCCCTCTGCTCCTTCTACCCAGGATACCAGCCACCTCCTCTGTTTACAACATTCCTTCTCCTCTTTCCAGACCAGCGGGACGTCCCCCCCTCGGCGGAAACGTGCCTGGCTTCTCTTCGCTCAGACACCGCAGAGCACCAGCACGCCCATCTGTCGGGTCACTGGACGCCCCTGCACGTCCCTTGCAGTGCCCGCTTCCCTAAGCAGGGACCGAGGCACCTTTGCAGGCTCACACCTGGCGCCACACGTAGGACATCACAGGGCACAACACTCTGCTTCTGAGAGAAAGTGCAGTGACGCGGACGGGAAATCATGTCAAGTACAACTTTACATACACGGTCTCGGCCACAGTAAGTCTAACGCCGCGGCGAGCCCAGCTGCTCTGCTATGTAATCCCTGGACCACTGGGCACAGGGTATTGCACACTGTTGGCCCAGCTGTCTTCACATGCACACAGCTCACAATGAAGGAAACGTGTGGGTACCAATTCACTCTAGTGGTTAATTTACATGGCCTGGCCTGCAAATTTGTGTATTTACTTAATGCCCAGAGCATTAGACTTTCATTCACAAAGCTCAAAAGAAGAAGAACAGACTCCGCTGAAACTTTCAAATATTTCCAGTCAGGCTAAACAAAACAAGGAACATTTCACTCGCAAGGCATACTTCCCTTTAAATGATCACCGAGTTAACATCAGGGGTAAAACCACGGGCGTGTGCAGTGACATGTTTAGATTCAGAGTCCCCGGAGGAAAAAAGAAAAAGACTCTTCTCCCTCTTGGTTTATAATAAAATGTAAACCAGAGTTCAGTGGAAGGCGGAGAGCTCCTTACATGGCGTGGTCTCCAGGCCTGTGGGTGTGTGGCCATTAACTAGACAGCACTCAAGGCCACATACACTGTCCTCAGTGCTTCCTTAGACAAAGGAATTGCTCCAGTATTATCTCACCTCGTTCGGGGACCCTCAGCCAAGGAAACACCTTTCGACAGCTTTTAGATGGCAGGTTAAAAGGCCCCAACCCCTTCCCAGCATCGAGTGTCACGGCACTGGGGAGTCCCTCTTTGTCCCCAGCTCTGATCAGTACCTGGTCAGGTCTCCCGTCTGTCAAAAGGTAGATTGCTTGTGTTTCTTTATCAGCAAAAGCAATCTGCAGGGCATGCAGAGTGTTTGTGGAACTCCCGACCTACAGAAGAGGGAGAGATAGCCGGCACGCACTTGAATCTCAAGAAAGATCTCAAACCAATGTTACGTTCTGCTTCCAGAAAGAAAGGGAAGTGCTTGTGAAATAAAAGATGCATGAAAATGATATTGAGATAATAATTTAAGCCCAGGCATCCCAAGAAGCCAGCCCCTGGGCGTGCCGTCAGGCCTCTCTCCACGGTCCCGGGGCTGCGGGAAACCAGGGCTGGGCCTCCCTGTCCTGACGGCAGAGCTCTGAGTGCAGGTCCCTGTGAGGCACTAACGCAGCCACTGCTCATTCAGCTGCCAGCACGGCTTAACCCTGCAGCCTGAGCACACCCTGGCGGGGATATGTTTGTTTCAAACCAGGACTGATTCATGACACCCGTGTTCACAAACACGAGTGAGCCATCGTTAGCAATCTGGAGGTTCAGCAAAGAAACCGTAAGTTTTAAAAACTCCTGTGGTTTCTGCCCAGGGATGCAGAGCACTGGCAGGAGTGCCACTCCCAAACTCGCAGTGAAAATGCCAGACAAGTGGCAGGCCCCGGACAGCTGTCACACCACCAGAGGGCACAGGGCAGCAACGGGCCAAAATACGGGGCGGGGCGGCACCTGCAGTGAGGCGGGGCGCACTGGCTTTCCGGGCCAGGATGCAGCCAGACACTCGTAAGAAGAGCTTTTCTGGGATGACTGGGAGTCGGTGGAGGCTGCCCAGGGTACTCGGCCTGGGTGCCACAGCTACAGGGGAATCTGTGCTCTCGTGGCTTTTTCACCACAAACCCCGGGTGCTCACAGAAGAGCCTGGGGGAGTCCCAAGAACGTCTCCTTCACGGTGCAGGATGGGGGAGAGGAACAGCGGCCTGAATCCCCAGAGACCCTCCCTCTGCCTCCCCACAGACCCAAAGCCTTAGTCTGCAGGTGGTGGGGTGGGGAGAAGGGCACGGGCCACCCTTGGGCCCCGGTGGGAACCAGCACAGCTGAGGAAGGAAGGAGGGAGCAGCAAGCCCTCGACACCTGCGGAGGAACAGGCGGGGCTGGGCTCGGAGCTGCGGAGAGGCCCACCCCCTCGAAAGACACCGACCACCGCGACGGGGCCCGTGTGGCCTGAGGAAACCCGGTGAGTGTGTGTGAAGCCACTGCCATCCTCGCAGCTCAAAGCACGTTCCCCGGGATTTCCCCAGGATCAGCTCAGCAGGGATCAAGCGGCTGCTTCTCCCAGACCCCTCCTTCTCACCTTCATGTCTCTAACCCAGGACCGAGCCCCTTGCAAGTTATCTTCATTGATGTCAACAAGTCTTTCCTGCCAAGCAACTGCGTGAGCATCAAACTGCACAAAATTGAACTTCCTTTTAAATTTCAGCTGTTCCTGTAAGAGACAATTATTATTTAACCATGAAACCACTCAAATGTAAGAAAATATTAGGACAGGTCATGGTTTGATAAGTTTTAATCACCATGATATCTATTTTCAGTTCTAGAAGGTAAAAATTACATTCAACAGAGAAAATCTTTTCTGGTACAGGAGGCTTTTAAGTAAGTTATACACAGTTTAGATAGTAAACCTTTACAAATGTATATAAGCATGAATATATACTATGTATCATGTATGTATACTAGAGGCCCGGTGCATGAAATTTGTGCACGGGGCGGGGGGGTGTCCCTCAGCCCAGCCTGCACCCTCTCATATCTGGGACCCCTCGGGGGATGCTCACAGTCAGACATCCCTCTCACAATCCAGGACCACTGGTCCCAACCTCTTGCCTGCCTGCCTACCTGATTGCCCCTCACCGCTTCTGCCTACCGGCCTGATCACCCCCAACTGCCCTCCCCTGCCAGCCCGGTTGCCCCCAACTGCTCTCCCCCCCAACTGCCCTCCCCTGCAGGCCTGGTCACCCCCAACTGCCCTCCCCTGCAGCCCGGTTGCCTCCAACTGCTCTCTCCCCCAACTTCCCTCCCCCCTGCCAGCCCGGTCGCCCCCAACTGCTCTCCCCCCAACTGCCCTCCCCTGCAGGCCTGGTCCCCCCCTAACTGCCCTCCCCTGCAGGGCTGGTCCCCCCTAACTGCCCTCCCCTGCTGGCCATCTTGTGGCCACATGGGGGTGGCCATCTTTGACCACATGGGGGCGGCCAGCTTGTGTGTTTGAGTGATGGTCAATTTGCATACTGGTCATGACTAATTAGCATATCTAGTTGTGGCTAATTAGCATATCTGGGCTAATTAGCATATCCCTCTCTTATTATTTAGGATGTTTATATATAGTGTGACATTAAATGTTGTCTGATATTAATGATATTAATGATACACCAAGTGCTCCCACTAAATGATATTAATGATACACCAAGTGCTCCCACTAAATGCAATATGCTTAAGAAAAAGAAATCCGAAGCAGAGTTCCACTTTGGCCATCTTTCTGGCAGGGCTATGACTCCGTAACACCTCTGTTCACTTGCCTCCCATCAGCCCCTATTTCTCTGACAGGTCTCCCCAATGAGAAGCTGCACTTTGTAGTTGTCCACCACCCTCCCACTATTTTCTGTGGTTAATACCTCACTACTGCTGGCCCGTGACAGTGCTGTGATGCCCATTTCCAGGTGTGGGAACTTGGGGTTAGGACACAGGGCATCTGCGTCAGGCCTACAAGCCAGAGGCAGTGCAGGAGTGAGCATGGGACGCTCCTGATCGCCAGGCTGTGTCTGTGCGCACGCAGCACCTTCACCCACTGGGAATTAAAATTCCAGTGTGACCTACAGATGAAAACCATGAAGGTATGTGCACGCACAGACTTCGGGACAGAGAAAACCTGCAGCAGTGGACACAGAAACTCCCTTGATAACCCACGTGTTACAGAAAGGACCCACCAAAGGAAGGTCTGCTTGCCAAGGAGAATGGGCGGTTCTCGCTGGTGAAAGGAGCCTTTTCCTGAAATGACTGGCTTTCCTGTGGATTTTTTTAGTGCAAACCTCGCCGGTGCACTCCCTGTTCCCACAGCAGTGAGGCCAGTGGAGATGTTTTCATGATACACAGGCCCCAATGCAGGAGCTGGCCGCTCATCTAACCTGCATAAACTGGATGATCTTGTCCTTCACCAAGTCCAGTTTGTCCTTCATTGAGTGAGACGTATCAATGAGGATGTAGACGCAGTCCTTATACACTTTCCCAAAGAGGATTCGACTCCCAGCCTGTAGCCATTCAATCCTAGGCAGGAAATAGTGTGAACGTGAACGGTTAGGGCCTGTGGAGCGAGAGCACCTTCCTAAGAACTTCATGAGACGCCTACGGAGGCCAGAGCTGGGCTGCGTTGTTATATACAATCTCCTGTGGGTGGATTACTCATGTTGAAGGGTTTCTGTGGACAATCCTACATTTGGGCTGGTTCCCTCATTGACTCCCCCTCCCCTAACCATCATCATTCCAAGTAAAACAGAACCAGGAAAATTAATGGGACAGAAAATAAATCCAATACTGGGTTCCAAAGTCAAAAGTAAATTATTTGCAGTCATCTGAGAGTCTGAAGCCCTCAGCTATGACTTCAGACCGCTTTCCTTCTAGCCCAGCTGACCACAGTCCCTGGTAACACCGGCGCATTCCTGGAGCCTCGATGGACCTCATGCACAATGCCCGGCGCCCCAGACCCTGCAGTGACCACGTGCCAGGCCGCTGTGTGTGCAGGGCTGCTTCTTGGGACGGGCTGGGCTCCCATCACAGGAGGCAAACTTAAATTCATGGCTGCAGGCAAAGCCTGGGCGAGGGAGCAGTGAATAAAAAAAACCTGAAACTGAGTTCAGAGTTCAGCAAGGCCTAGGCAACTAGAATTCGTAGGACAGACACTGCTGAGAGTACTGAATGAAATGAAATACAGCATAATAAAATTTGTGAGAGACAGCTAAAGAGCTACTCAGAGGAAAGTTTATAAAATAAATGTTTATGCCCTAGCCGGTTTGGCTCAGTGGATAGAGTGTGGGCCTACAGACTGAAGGGTCCCGGGTTTCATTCTGGTCAAAGGCACATGCCCATATTGCAGGCTCGATCCCCAGTAGGGGGCATGCAGGAGGCAGCTGATCAATGATTCTTTCTCACCATTGATGTTTCTATCTCTCTCTCTCCCTCTCTCTTCTTCTCTGAAATCAATAAAAATAAAAAATAAAAAATGATAAAATAAAAGCAAAACAAACAAGGAAAAATAAATGTTTACACTAGAAAGAAAGATCTCAAATTAGTGATATCCATTCTAAGATACTTAAACCCAAAGTAAGGAAAAGAAATAAATAAAAAGGGTGAGAGTAAAAAGTAATGGCATAGAAAGGAGAAAATCCTGCAGAGAAAAACACACAACAAAACCAAAAGAAAAGATGAATAAAATGGATACCTTTAGCCAGACTGCTTAGAAAATAGAGGACAAGTTACCAATATCAGCTCTATGAGCATTTACAGAAATTGAATACATAATTAAAAACCTTCCCACAAAGAAAAACTCCAGGCCCAGACGGCGTCAGTGGTGAATTCCACAAGCATTTAAGGGAGAGATGATACCAATTCTCCATGGGAAATGGAGAAGGAGAGAAGACTTTCCAACAAACCCGGTGTGACAAGAGGGACAAAAGACCTGGCAGCTGCCAGGCGGAATGTCTCCTAAGTAGCATCCTTTTTCCCAGACCTGAAATCCAAACAACTCTCCCCAAAAGTCAACCTTGAGACTATAGGCAGAGATGACTCCGACATAAGGATTCGTTTTGCTGAGTAACCCTTCACCAATAACCCGTCACCAACTGGGTTTTGAGAAGTTGGGGCTCCGAAGACTTAATATGGAGACAGGTGTCTGCAGCCTACACCTTTACAGCAGAGAACACAGACGGAAGTAGGAAACTCTCATTTCCAAGCAGCTACTGCAGGCCAGTCCTCGCCTATACTCGTTACATTTAGTCTCTAGTCTAATCCATAGAACACATTTCTAAATGGCATTATATTCCCACTTTATAAATGAGGAAACCAATGCATAAAAACATCAACGACCTTGCCCAGGGTCACACAGCAAGTGCAGAGTGGGGATTAGAATCCAGCTCTCTCCGACCCTGGAGCCCATGCACCTGAAGGGATCTGGTCCTCATGGTCTAAGCTGTCCCTGCCTCAGGAGGTGAAAGCATGAGGTGGATCATTCCCAGGGGTCTGAGGTTGAGGCCACAGCAGATATTAACAGCAGGGTGGAGAGGGACCACATGAAGTTATTTTTAGCTGATTTCTAAAAGGCATATCTGTATATATAAAAGCCTAATTGACCTTTAGGACTGGTCAACTGAACAACCTCCCTCAGCCGGCCAACCTCCTGTGGTCCCTCCCCCTGGCCAGCCCGATTGGGACTGGGCGAGACAGCCCAATCGGCCTGATCTCCAGCCAGCCCGAGGCTGGTGCACAAATTCGTGCACCAGACCTTTAGTATCCATATAAATTTTTCCACTATAATCAAATGTTTCACATTGTAACAGTTGCCCTGAAGTGTAATATTCAAGAGGACAGATGGAATACAGTCTCGCTATACCTTAGCCCACAACTCTGAGGAGAAGCGCTCCTTAGCTGCCTATAGTGACGCACAACCAGCATGTTAACTACACCTTTGCTGTCTTTAAGAATCTGAATCCAAACATCACCCTTTGGTATTAACAACAAGGCCACCAGCAAACCACCAGCAAATTGACTTAACATGTTTACTGGCCATTTCTCTTGGTTATGCTTTTACAAAGAGTTTGAGCAGATTTGAATTCAGAGAGACCAGACCTCTTGTACCCTCTGCAAACACACCGACCTGCGCCGGATCTGGGCCAGGACCGCATGGATTCTCTCGGTGTACCACGTGCACTTCTCCTTGGTAACGCAGACGTGGACCAAGCTCCCGTCCTTCCAGGGCACGTGGACAAATCTGCTACAGTATTTCGCATGGACTGTCTTCCTGTTGGTCTCCTATGGAAAGGACAAAGGACAGGAGCCACTCAGAAACCATCCCACCACGAAAAGTCTCCAGATGGCACCTCCATCTCTGCCTTAGTCATACAGCTCATCACTCTCACTCCTACGTAAAATCATTCCACTGTTGGTTCAACCAAGCGTGCACTGGGGTCTGCTCTATACGGAGGCCTGTGCTAGATGTCATGATGATGTCAGAAAGATGTGTGCAACCCCGTCTGTGCCCCAGAGAAGCTGCTGTTTCCAGCGGGGGACACCGGGGATGAGTGCAGGCAGGAAGAGGTCTGAGGACGGCACCTCGAGGCCTTCAGCATTTAGCTGGGAAAGAACTAACAAAGAATGCTGAGAACAAGAAGGAAAAACAGGACAGTGCATTTTCTGTAAGTAAGAGAATTCAAGGAAGTACCCAAACTACATCATGTGTTGAAACAGGACAGTGCATTTTCTGTAAGTAAGAGAATTCAAGGAAGTACCCAAACTACATCATGTGTTGATAACAGAAAGAGACTGAGAATTGATCCCTGGATTCAGCAACTCAGGTATCCCTTCCAAGGGAGTTTTGGTGAAGAGGGGGCCTTTGCCTGACTGGAGTGCATTCAAGAGTGTGGGAGAAGCACAGAATTGGAGAGTGGGAATGTATAACCCTTAGGGGATTGAGTTCTAGAGAGGAGCTGAGGAATGAGGCCAAGGAGGCAGAGCTGGAGGCCAGTAAAGGGTGAACAGACTGTATTTAAGATGGAACAAATAACACCATGTTTGTATGCTGATGGAAAAGATCTAGAAATGAGGGCAATACTGATGATATGAATTAGAAAGGGGGAGAATGAATGAATGAATGAATGAGGGAATTGGGATCAGTGCACACATGGAGGGGTTGGTCTTAGACAGAAGCAAGGGCAGTTCAGCCATCCTAGAAGAAATGAGAGGAGAACCTCCAGACACAGATGCTAGGATATTTGTAGCTGTTTGTAGGTGTTCGTGGATGTTCACTTCAACGGTCAGTGCAAGGGGAACAAGGTCGCCTGCTGAGAGCGAGCACGGAGAAGACGCTGAAGTTGGAGGAGGGAGGAGCAGGTAGACGTCTGGCAGGATGAGAGTCTGCGTGGACTGGGAGAGGACATGGGACTGTGCTGCAGCACAAAAGACCCGCCTGAAGTTACAGGTCAGGGATTGAAGGTGAAGCCAGACGCATGGCTGTGTTTTTCTCCTCCTTCGCCCACTGTAGTCACTGCACAGGTATAAGGCAGAAATGGCAGAAGTGGATTTAACCAGGGGTGGGGTTTTGCCAGGGAGTGCAAGGATGTAAGAGAGAAAGTAGCCGAGGATGTGTGAGAGGGACTAAAGGATAGAGAGAACAGAGAAAAGATGGCAGAAACAACAAATCGGACATCCCAGTGGGGTTGAAAGGTTGATGCAATTAGGACAGCAGAGGAAATGACCTAAAAAAAGTGATCAAACAGTGGACCTTTGGAATTGATTATATGGGTTATGATTACACAGCTATTTGTAATGACAATGTCAATGGTAGCCTATGACAGGAGTGGTGTATAGGGAGTAGAGGAGAACGTCGTTGGAGAAGAGTAGGTCAGAGAGATGAAAGGTCGGGGCCATCTACAAGGAATTGACATCACTAGGAATTGAAACAGGGCCAGTGACAGCAGCCACAAGCTTAATCGCCAAGCACTGATGGAGGTGGCCTGGATCACTGTAGGTGACAGCCACAGAAGGTGTAGTGGATGGTACATTCTGATGACATGGGAAGAGGGCAGGAGGATGACCCAGAAGCAGCAAAGAGGAGCAAAGAGGCTACTGCCCACCCCCAGCCCACCCCCAACCCACAGAAGGAGGGGAGTGAACCCAGGGTCTGTGAGCGAGAACCCAGACAAGCAGGAGAAGGGAACACCTCAGATCACCTGAGGCTCCAGGGTTTTGCTGATGGCTTCTAGGTTCAGAGGGCACAGTGGGAGGGTTCTGGGAGTCAGGGAGAAAGGGAGGAGGCTCGGGAAAGGGAGGTCAGAGCCACACACGAGTGAGATTCAGGGGCCCTGTGGTGACTGATGCGAACCGGGTGGAGGCCATTGATGAAATCAGCCCTGATGCCGCCGAGGCGGGCAGAGGGGAAGCACATCTCCCCGCAGCCCCAGGGAAGGATGTCCTCTCATTCTCACCACGTTCCTGGGATGGCACCCACAAGAGTTCTGTCTACTCAACCCCAACACGCGGCCTCTGCCAACTGTGCCTTACACACTCCCAAGTAGAAACACACCAAACCATATGGTATGTGAATCCAGGGTTAGGCAGCAGAGTCTCAGAATGGGGAAAGCAGCGTGTGAGAGCCAAGCAGATCTGAGTTCACCCGGCCTCCACCTGCCATGAGGTGGCAGGTGAGTTGCCCCACCTTTCGGAGGCCCTGTGACTTCGCTTTGTCACATGTGATATGAGAGCACAAATATGCCACTTCTGTATAAAGCACATGGGCATTCCATAAGTGCTCATTTCTGAGTTCTCGTGCGTTTAGTTAAGAAGGCAGGCAACGTCTGCTGGGTGTCTCCTGGGCACCAGGCGCTGTGCTCGGACATGCATTTCTTTTCATTTGGACTTTACACCACCTACTACAGATGTGGAGAGTGAGACTAAAGGAGGCTGAATTATTTGCTCAACATCTCATAATTAGTAACTGGTAGAAACAGTGTTCACACCCAGGTCTCCTCGCTCCAAATCTGGTGCACTTTCCACCAAACCAGACTGCCTGGTATAGAGTAAGGGCTCCATAAACATTTGTTAGAGGAAGAGATGGTGCGACCAGAGTGGGTTTGGGAACGTCAGGCCTGGCTTTGTACGTGAGCAGCATAGGCAACCGGGCCTGTGATGTGATTTCAGGGGTGCCCTGAAATTTCATGTTACTAGACTTTGCCTGAAATGTCCTAATTAGAAATGCATTCTGTCTCCTCCTCTCACCTGCTCATTATCTTGGAAATGCTACACAGAGAGGCCTTTTTAGTCATTTATTTCTCAGTGCAAACGAGTTTCCTAGATCAGTACCTACAAACTGGTTTTTATAGTTAAGAGTTTATGAGGCCCTGCCCATGGTAGTCTGGGAAAACCCTAAATAATCTATCTCTTTCACAGCCTCAGGTTCTCCCTACCTTATACACATCACAATTTTAGGCATAAATCTGGTTTCAGATATGTAGCCCCAAATACTAAAAATAAAATTGTCCCTTTTTTCCATCAATATTTGGGAAAGAGGATAGCTGCGCTGTATACTTCTCAACTTTTACTACATTATTATTTATTAGCACAAGAAAATTGAGGCAAAATATTCCTCATTTATAAGCCAAATTATTCAAACTTTCCCTATAAAATTTCACATAAAACTGTCGAGGGAAGGAGAAAATCCGTGTTGGAGAGGCCTGAGGGCACTTCCGCGTGGCAGGAAGGGGCAGTGAGCTAGGTCCAATGAGAAGGATTCATATTCTTTTATTATTATTACTAGAGGCCCGGTGCATGAATTCATGCACAGGTGGGGTCCAGCCGGCCCACCCCAATCTGGCCAATCGGGCCAGGCCAGCTGGAGGGAGGGGCCGCAGGTGGTTGGCCGGCCCCTGGTTGAACTCCCACTCAAATTCCCGGTTGAGGGGACAAAATGCATATTAGCCTTTTATTATATATGATTATTGTTTAAAGTATTACATATGTCTCCTTTTTCCCTGATTGACCCCCCCACCCCGTCACACCCCCCCCCCCGGACAAGCCCCCACCGCCCCAGTGTCCGTGTCCATGGGTTATGCTAATATGCATGCATACAAGTCCTTTGGTTGATCTCTACCCCCCTCCCTCCCCGCCTTCTCTCTGAGGATTCATATTCTTAAATAGCCAGGGCCTAATGTACCTTTAAAATGAAAATTTAGTTATGCTTATTTCCTGAACTAATGGCATTACTGAATGATGTCTACAAAATCAGGAAACCAGCGAGATGTCCCCACAACCCAGCAATGACTCTGCAGCCAGCATATATGCCAGGAGACAAGTCTGCGTCAATTCTGCATTTTCCTTCTAATTCCGTTTTTATATTTTCCTCCTTGCAGCTCATTGTCAGCACACAGCAGTGGAAGGACAAACATACAACATCGAGTGTCTGCAGGCCTGAGAGAAAGGCCCTTCCCCGAGGAGCCATGGCCAGCCCGCCTGAGTGCTGGAGAGCCTGGGGTTTCACCTCCAACCTGACAGACATCTCAGTGACGATCTTGACCTTGAACCGGAGATTAGAGATACAGAGAGTGGCCTGCCTTTGAGAAGGACCCCGACTTCCTCTCCCAGTCGTGTCTGCTCTGTTGCTGGCATTTCGGCTTTCACTTTGCAGTGGGTACCTGGGCCTTTACTACCTTCTCAAAGAGCTTTTCTCCAGTTTAGACACATTTAGAATATTCATTTTATCCCGATGTCCTGTTTCATATTGTGATACTTTTTAGTCTCCATAATTCTGAACTTTTGACAGTTTTGGTTCTGTTTACATCTAGCATTTCTCAGCGTGTGGCCCCTGGACCAGAAGCCCCCGCATCATCTGAGGCTTTGGTCTAAATGCACATTCTTGGCTCCCACCCCAGACCCACTGACTCACGCGTGTTAGTGTTTAGGAGCTGTTACTATAGATCAGTGGTTCTCAACCTTCCTAATGCCGCGACCCTATGATACAATTCCTCATGTTGTGGTGACCCCCAATTTCATTGTTACAAACTGAACATAGTGATTAATCACAAAAACAATATGTAATTATATATGTGTTTTCCAATGGTCTTAGGCGACCCCTGTGAAAGGGTCATTCGACCCCCAAAGGGGTCACGACCCACAGGTTGAGAACCGCTGCTATAGATCCTTATCCTTCCCTGGGAGCCAGAGTCGGGCACTTAGAGAAGCTGTGCTCCTTCCCGACCCGTTGGCACAATGGAACTACAGCTGTCAAAGGGTCTCAACATGCACACCCCCTCCCAGTGGATGGCCCCCCACAGAACCGATTTCGTGCTCACGGGGGTGCACTCAGTGCTGGCGGACAATCACTAGGACTGGTGCATCTTTAAGATGGACCTAGGGACGCCTGCTGTGGGCATCTTCACAAGTACTTTCCTTCTTCCATTCAATATGGAGGAGCACCGGGCGTCTCCTTAGAAATGACGTTGCATATTTCTGAGACGCATAATGCCTGAATTACAAGCCCAGCTCCTGGCTTATGTATAATTATTGTATAGTTCACTTATCTCTAGAAAACATTCCCAGAGCTGGCCTCCACCCCCACAGGGGAGTGTACGGTGAGAAGCAGTGTACGGTCCTTCCGCATGGACACCCCAGGCAGCTTCCCTCCACGCCGCCTTTAACCTGGTGCTGCCCTGGGCACTGGCCTGAGGGAGACCTCGCCTACCTACTCAGGGCACCAAGAGAGGCACGGCCCCACCAGAGCGCACTTACCGCGCTGGTCTGTATGGACTCGTTCTCGGGTTTGGCTTTTATATCAACGACTCCATCAGCATGGCGGAAGGAACAGTCAGCAAGTACATCATAAAATGACAGCTTTTGGGCTTTTAAGCCATATTTCTGCAGCCACTTCTTAGAGTCCCACATGTCTTCTGGATTTGGTTCACTTTCAACAGAGGTTGTTCCTGACTCTATTTCTGGAATCACAGATCATTAGCCATTCAGATTACACAGCCATTCATATTGCACCCCCACCTTAATATTCACCACGCTCAAACATGTTCTTTGGGGGACCCCACTCACTTCAGGAAGCATGCTTTCCAAAGCAGGGATGGCAAAGAATCAGTTCACAAGACTAGAAGGCCAGAACCTGCTACACTTCATCTTACTTCTTCTCTACCTAAGGTGACTGGCCCCATGCATAGGTGGAGACGGCCAATAGACCAAGGCAGTGTGTTTGGGAGAGCATTAAACTTGGGGTCAGAAGCTCTGGGTTCAAGTCCTGCCTCCATCACTTTCCAGCTTGGGCAAGTTCCCACAGTGGTTTGTTGTTTTTAATTGTGGTGAAACATACACAACCTAAACTTCACCATTTTTAGGTGTGCAATTCAGTGGCATTAACTACATTCACATTGTTGTGCAACTATCACCACCACCAAACTCCAGAACTCTTCCAGTGTCCCAGATGGAAACTCTGCAGCCATTAAATAATATGCCCTAGGTCCCTGGGAACCACTTTTCTACTTTCTGTCTCTACAAATTTGATTATAAATTTACCTCATATAAGAGGAATCCATACTAATAAAAGGGTAATATGCTAATTAGTCCGGTCGACTGGACACCTTCCAGACGTCCGACTTCCTTCTGGACAAAGCCATGGTGGCGGGTTCTGAGGCAGAGGTGGTTAGGGGCGATTAGGCCGGCAGGGGAGCAAGCAGTTAGGGGCGATCAGACCAGTGAGGGAGAGCAAGCAGTTAGAGGTGAGATCAGGCCGGCGCAGGGGAGCAAGCAGTTAGGGGGCGATGAGGCCAGTAGGGAGGGCAGTTGGGAGCAATCAGGCCAGCAGGGGAGGGCAGTTGGGAACAATCAGGCCAGCAGGGGAGCAGTTAGGGGGCAATCAGGCCAGCAGGCAGAGGCGGTTAGGGGTGATCAGGCAGGCAGGCAGGCAGGCAAGCGGTTAGGAGCCAGTGGTCCCAGATTGTGAGAGGGATCCCAGATTAGAGAGGGTGCAGGTCGGGCTGAGGGATAGCACCCCCCCCCCACCACATGAATTTCATGCACCGGGCCTCTAGTCATATAATATTTGTCATTTTTTGTGTCTGGCTTATTTCACTTAGCATAATATCTTCAAGGTTCATCCATGTTATAGTATGTGTCGGAATTTCCTTCCTTTTTAAAGTTGGCTAATATTCTGTTGTGTATACTAGTATATACTAGTACACATCTTGTTTATCCAGTTGTCTGTCAGTGGACATATGGGTTGTTTATCTTTGGAACTTAGGGATAATGCTGCTATTCTTCTCCTAGCTTTTATGCTATTATTGTCATACATCTTACTTACACATCTGTTACAGACACACTATTTTTGTTCCTATGGTTAGTTGTCTTAAAGATAACTAAGTAGAAAAATATCACATATTTATCCACGTAGCTCTTTCCGGTGTTTCTTTATTACTTTGCATAGCTCCATATTTCCATTTATTTTTCTCTCCTCCTGCCTGAGATGC